CGCACACCGCCCTGCACGCCCCTCTCCCCGCACCGCCGCCCTGCACGCCCCTCTCCCCGTACCCCCGCCCTGCACGCCCCTCTCCCCACCCTGCACCCCCTTCTCTCCGCACCCCCGCCCTGCACGCCCATCTCCCTTCTTCCCGCCCGAGCACAGGCCGAGCCCCGCACAGGTCCTGCGTGGAGAGGGGCTGTCCTCCAGGCCCCCGTCCCCATGACCGCCCGGGACAGGGACTCACCTGGCCGCTATGCCGGGACAATGACCTGAGCCGGACAGGCCCGCCCGGCTCAGTGTGCATGCGCAGCCGACACGGGACTACAGGTCCCAGAAGCCCGCGCGCCGCCCAGTCCCTTCTGCTCCGGGAGGATGGGGGCATGGGGGCGGGGGAGGAGGAGGAAGGGGTGCTGGGGGGGAGAGGAAGAGGACGGGGGCGTGGGGAGGGAGGACAGGGAGGATGGGGGAGGGGACAGGGAGGTTGAAGGTGGGAAGGAGGACAGTAGGATGAAGGGGGGAGGAGGATGTGGCTGGAAAGGGGCGGCGCGCGGAGGGGCCGAGAGAAAAGTCTGTCTTGGGGAGGGTGAGATAAAGCCTCTCCTTGGAGGCGAGGATTTTGAAGCTCCATCTCTCACATACTTTGTGGGCACATGGCCAGGAGGCACCAGTTCTTGGAGAGGGACACTTGGAAGGGTGGAGGGACAGCACAGCACAGGAGGGGAAGACCCCGGATGAGATGGATTGACATAGTAACTGGGGTAATGGTGGTGGGAATGTCAGAGTCCATGAGACTGGCTCAGGATAGGGCAGAGTTCAGCGCATAGGGTCGCTATGAGTTGCAGACGACTTGATGGCACATAACAACATATGTTAATGATCTAGGATCAATGTGGGCTCTGTCATGAGTCACAGCCTTACAAAGAAGGCATGACTTAAGTACTTTCCTTACTTAAGCCAAACTCTTTTTTGAGTCACACATTTCATCTTATAAGAGAGAAAAAGACATAGAGGAAGGGTTACCTCTCACTATTACCGATAAGGAAGAGCCATGAGTAGAATGGGCATCATTTGGATCTGAGGTCACTTTGCTGAGAACTTCCTAGACCCACAGTGCCAAGACACATGGAAGGATGCATGTGAGAGTTGGACAGTCCCTCAGGGGGCAACACATTCTATTCGCCTCTAACACTTGGTTGTTAGAGACCTTAAATAGACTTTTTTTAAGCTGCTCTGAAGACCCAAAGCATGCATCCAATTTCGAGGGAGAGATGGAACAAGAATGTATCAAAGACTCTTTACCAGCATTTACTTAAAGACCAGCTTTATTATCTAACAATATTTCACATGCACAGAAATGGATTTCACAAATCTTGCCCAACTAGGGGGCTCTGGTGGCCTGGTGGCAAGAAGAGGCACTGCAATCCTGAAAGCACACGGTTCAAAGCCACCAGAAGGCTCCAGAACGTGGGGGAGGATGGACAATCTCCTCCCTTGCAACTAACTGCCTCTGAAAACCCACCAGAGGGTCAGCTATGGGTCGATTCCGACCCAACGGTACACAACAAAAATCTTGCCCGACATGTTCAAATAAAAAAAATCAGAGTAAACACATTCCACTGGGATTCTGCTTAGAATCACAATTTTTTAAAAAAATTAACAGAATTGTTTATCTAGAAAAATACCTTATTTCTGTCTTTATTAGTCAAACTCATAGCCATGGGGTCAAACTGATTCATAGCAGACCCTTGAGCTGGTTTTCATAGGCTGTGAACTGCCCAGGAGTAAACTGCCCATCTTCCCTCAGGGCTGGGAGATGCAGTGCCTCCCTGTCTATAGGAGTAAGTTCCAAGACTCGCAGAGGATGCCTGAACCCATGGACAGTGTGAGCCCTGTACATGTAATTCTTCCTATGCACACAAACAGCAGGTATCCAGGCTGCCCCAGGTGGGCACTGTTGGACACCTGCTGGCACAGCACAGCTAGCTCCTCGCCCAGATGTCCCTGGCACGGGTGAGATTTTGCACACCGCTCAGAACAGCACCTGATCGAAATGTTCTGAGACCTTGGGAAACCGCAACCTCAGAAAACAAAACAAGGGGTGTGGTGGAGTAATGGACTACTGTATTTTCTTATCGTCTGACAGTCATTTAATTTCACTGACATTCTTCAACAAACTGCTTTAAAACTTGCTTTCTTGTTTTGCAGTGCTGTCGTGGAAAGCTTAAAAACGTCTCTGCCCCAAAAGGTGGTCGGCAAACATTGCTCAGTAAAATGAAAGTTATTCGTGACTTTGTGGGCTCCTAGCCCTGGTGGCACAATGCGTCACCGGAGGGCTGCCAACAGAAAGGTGATGCGTGTGAGTGCACACCTCCACTCTCCTAAGATCTGTAGCTTTGGAAATCTGGTGACAGTCACCATGACTCAGAATCGCCGGAGTGGCAGTGAGGGAACACTGGTGGCTTAGTGGTGAGGAGGTGCGTGGCCAACCGAAAGGTACACAGTTTGAATCCACCTCTGGATTCTGTGGAAGAAAAATGGGCAATGCCAGTTCCAGCCTTGAAAACCTGCCGGAGGGTCAGCTGTGGGTCAGTTCCGATTCGGGAGAACACAACAACGACAATGGCAGTGGATGTGGTGTTACTGTGGTTAACGGCTGACCCCTGAAACGTGTGGAGGAGGCATGACACCCTGTGCAGCTGAAAACCCCTGTGTAACCTCCAGCAGACCCTTCCCAGCTCGGCTCTGAGTGGCGTGGACTCACCTACTCGCAGAGCTTCTCCTCACTGTGGGTTCAGTCAGCCCCCGCACTGAGGATCTGCTCCAAACGCCACGTGACGCTCATGCCTGCGTGAGCAGTTCTCTCCACAAAGTCCTCATCTGCAGTTCTCCAACTGTGTGAGAAGCCGCCATCGACCGGAGAGATGAACTGTTCACTTAATGGCGTTTTAAGCAGATCTCACAATGCTCGATCTTGTGACAGCAGCAAGAAATGAAACATCTGCATGTAGGTGGACGTGTGCAGTTCAAAACGCTACTGTTTAAGGGTCAGCTGTATTCAGTACCACCAAGGTACCAAGGAAGTATTCACTACCAGTGTGTAAACCACCATAAAAAAATAGCGCTGTAGTCCCGTAAAATTCCATTTTCAAAAACTTGCAGCAGGTGGATGTGTCCTGTGATTTATAGTTTAGGGGCCTCTGGTTTACCGCAGGAGTTGGCTAATGTTTTACAGGGACGGCTAGTCATTTCTGGTTTTGCTGGACATACAGTTGCCATCGCTTCTTTTCAACCCCACTGTTAGAGGTTTCTGAAAGGAGCCATGAGCAGCACCTAAAGAAATAAGCAGTTATGTTCCAATGTAACTTTACGAAGGAATACTGAAATGTGAATCTCATATAATTAGACAAGGTCATGAATGTCAGGTGATTTGACCTTAAAATTATAGAATGGTGACAGAAGATACTTCACTTTTATCAATGACAAAAAAAGTGGAAAACCAGTCTTAGCTCACAAGCCGCACAAAAAAACCAACCCACCAGTTGCAATTGTGACTCAAAGAAGGTCCTAAGTCATGTGCTGCGGTGCTTCTGGGAGGACCCTGGCTGACTACCGACTGTGTTAAGTGCTCCACCGAGGGGCTCGTCCACAAGCTCACTGCTGTCCAGCTGCCAGGACTCACAGTGCCCCTCCGCTGGGTCCCCAAGCCTGCAAATCCTTACCCATGAGACTGTCTGGCTTTGGGGGGTGTCCTGTGTGTAGGAAGTGAACCTGACCTTGACTTTGGGTTTGCAGGCGAACGTACGGCACATTATGCCACCACGGCTCCTTACACAAAAGCGGCCGGCAGGAATGGGGGCACGAGTCACAGCACTGATGCCTGCTCTGATCGGTTTACCTTTAACGGTTCCTCTAGTGTTTCTAGAACTCAGTCTGTAAAGGGCCAGACACAAATATGACTTGCTTCGCCATGAAGTTGTGTGGGCTTAAATCGATTAGGGCCCCCCTCTGTACAGATTCCTGCAAACCATGGCAGTTCTGCTTCAGGGAGCCCAACCATGCCTGTTCTCTAGATCCTTCAGAACTCAGCCACTAGACAGACCCGTGCCAGCTTATCTGTTGGTCACTGAGATGTGCACTGTCCCCAGGAAGGGTGAGTTTCTCACCAACCGGGCACATCACCTAACTTAGTGAAGTCAGAAAGCCTCCACACTAACGCCACACCCTGGAGCCAGGTGTCCAACCCAGAGAGGCGACCCTCCCTGATCGACCTTCAGAACGTCTGTGTCTGTTCTAAACCTTGGTATCCCCTAGCCCTATTTTAGGCAACACTTTTTTTCACAGTGGACCAAGATGACTCTTCAGGGTCCAAAACTAATGTTTCTACCAGTCCTGTTGTTACTGAACACTTGGCCTGGCCCAGAGACTGCCAGGTTCTCACAATCAAAGACTCCGTCGCATGATCTCAACACACTTTTCACATGAGGCCAAGAATCACAAAAAAAAAATCATGGTGAGTACAGAGTGAGGCACAAGCTTGGAACAGAACAGAAAGGACAGGACCACAGTCTTTAAACTTGACACAGTCCAGGGGGAAAGATACCCTGAAGCTGTGGTCATGAGAGGGCTGGCAGATTCCAGAGAAATGCGGGAAAGAGATCCACAGGCCGGGCCGGGGCGGGCAGGGCAGGGCGGGCGGACGCCTGTCCGCTCTGCGTTCTCTGGTGCTGGGCGAAGGGCGCCATCTGCCTGAAGGCTTTCCTGTTTCTCTTACAGCCGTAGGCCCGCTCCCCGCTGTGGACCCTCTTGTGCTGGTTCAGGTGTCCGATCTGGACGAAGGTCTTCCGGCACTCCGCGCACTCGTAAGGCTTCTTCCCGGAGTGGATCCGCTGGTGGACGCTGAGGGACTGGCGGTGGCCGAAGGCTTTGCCGCAGGCGGGGCACGCGTACGGCTTCTCGCCCGTGTGGCTCCGGCGGTGGCAGATGAGGGAGGACTTGGTCTTGAAGGCCTTCCCGCACTCCACGCACTCGTAGGGCCGCTGGCCGGTGTGCAGCCGCTGGTGCTGGGTGCAGGATGAGTTGTCCCCGAAGGCCTTGCCACACTCACCACACTTGTAGGGCTTCTCGCCGGTGTGGACGCGCCGGTGCTGGGCGAGGTGCGTGGTCTGGCTGAAGGCCTTGCCGCACTCCTTGCACGCGTATGGCTTCTCGCCCGTGTGCGTCTTGTGGTGCTGCGCCAGGTGCGCCTTCTGCGTGAAGGCCTTCCTGCACAGCGGGCAGCGGAAGGGCTTCTCCCCGGTGTGCACGCGCCGGTGGGTGGCCAGCTGCGAGCTGATGCTGAAGGCCTTGCCACAGTCGCCACAGCCGAAGGGCTTCTCGCCGGTGTGGGTGCGCAGGTGGCTGGCCAGGTGGATGTTCTGACGGAAGGCCTTCCCGCACTCCTGGCAGGCGAAGGGCTTCTCCCCGGAGTGCACCCGCCGGTGCTGCGTGAGGGACGCGTGGTGGCCGAAGGCCTTGCGGCACACGGCACACTCGTAGGGCTTCTCGCCGGTGTGCACCCGCTGGTGCACGGTCAGGGACGAGCCGTAGCGGAAGGCCTTGCCGCACTGGCCGCAGCCGTAGGGCTTCTCGCCGCTGTGGACGCGCTGGTGCTGGCTGAGCCCGACGTGGTCGCTGAAGGCCTTGCCGCAGTCCGCACAGCCGAAGGGCCTCTCGGCCGCGTGTCGGCAGCGCCGGTGGCGCGCGAGGGCCGTGCTCTGGACAAAGGCCTGGCCGCACTGGCCGCACTCGTAGGGCCGGCGGCCACTGTGGCCCCGCCGGTGGCATGCGAACGACGAGCCGTCGCTGAAGGCCCGGGCGCACTGGCCGCAGCGGTAGGGCTTCTCCCCGCTGTGGACACGTCGGTGCGCAGTCAGCGACGAGCTCTGCATGAACGTCTTCCTGCACTCGCTGCATCGGAAGGGGCTCTGCCCTGCACCAAGGCCTGCGCATCTCACGGCCAGCGGGGGTTTGGAGAACTCCTTCTTCACCACCTGAAGACCGTGGACCGCCGCCTCCGAACCATCTGAACAGAATCCCCTCCCAGATCCGCCAACCAGCCGGCCCGGGTCCCTGGAGAGGCCATCGGCATGGGAGAAGACCTCGCGCTGGGACAGGGTCTCCGGATCCACACACTTCCTTCCACACACGCCAACAGGGACCCACTTCTCTCTGAAGAGGGGACACCCAAGGTCCGTGCTGGCAATCGTATCTGACACCACTTCCCTGCATGTGTCCTGCTTCAGCAAGAATTCCTGGGTCTCCCGAGCCGACTGCGGGCCTGCAAGATACCGACAAGTGAGTGGTTCCTTTGTGGGTGCTGGAACGGAGGAATCGCCTGAACGAGAAGTGGGTGAGCGCAGTGCTAACGCAGAAACATTCACTGCCGTGGAGCTGGGACGGCCTACGGGGCAGCCTACGGGGCGGCCTACGGGGCAGTCTACGGGGTGGCCTACAGGACTATGGGATGGCCTACAGATGGTCTACGGGGCAGCCTACGAGACAGTGTACGGGGCGGCCTACAGGACTATGGGATGGCCTACAGATGGTCTATGACAGTCTACAGGATGGTCTACGGGGCAGCCTACGAGACAGTCTATGAGGCGGCCTACAGGACCACAGGACAGCCTTCCGGATGGTCTACAGGGCAAACTACAACAGGCTACAGGACGGTCTATGGGACGGTCGACGGGACAGTCTACGACAGTCTACAAGGTGGTTTACAGGACGGCCTACAGGACGGTCTATAGGACAGTCTATGGGACGGTCTACAGGACTATAGGACAGCCTACGGATGGTCTACAGGGCAAACTACAACAGGCTACAGGACGGTCTACGGGACAGTCTACAACAGTCTACAAGGTGGCCTATGGGATGGCCTATGGGACGGTCTACAGGGCAATCTATGACAGTCTACAGGACGGTCTACGGGACAGCCTACGGGATGGTCGACGGGACTACAGGACAGCCTACGGATGGTCTACAGGGCAAACTACAACAGGCTACAGGACGGTCTATGGGATGGTCGACGGGACAGTCTACGACAGTCTACAAGGTGGTTTACAGGACGGCCTATGGGACAAGTCTAGGACAGTCCACAAGGTGGTCTACGGGACGGCCTACGGGACAGTCTATGGGGTGGCCTACAGGACTATGGGACAGCCTACAGATGGTCTACAGGGCAAACTACAACAGGCTACAGGATGGTCTATGGGACGGTCGACGGGACAGTCTACGACAGTCCACAAGGTGGTCTACAGGACGGCCTACAGGACAGTCTATGGGATGGTCTACGGGACAGTCTACAACAGTCTACAAGGTGGTCTATGGGACAGCCTATGGGACAGTCTACAGGACAGTCTATGGGACGGTCTACAGGACGGCCTACAGGGCAATCTACGACAGTCTACAGGATGGCCTAAGGGACAGTCGACGGGACAGTCTACAGGACGGCCTAAGGGATGGTTCAGGCTGGCCCACTGTGCTCCCCAGCCTCTAACTGCTAACAGAGCCAGCCTGCCTCACCTTCCCACCCCCCCACCCCAGTGAGGCTGGGGGTGCACATGGTCAGTCTTTCAGTCGGCAGCCCAGCACAACCTGCCTTGCCACCCACCCCTTGTCCACCCCATGTACACTGCGGGACGAGGCAGAGCGTCTTCACAGGAGCCGGGCGGTGGGTGGTAAAGCACGTGGGGGCTCACCCGAAGGTCAGTGGTTTGAACCTGCTGCAGGAGAGAGCGGGGCGGTCTGCTCTCCAAACACTAAAGACCTCAGATACCCTACCGGGCAGGTCTCCTCTGGGCTAAGGGTCTCTGAACTTGAATCACCTGGACAACGGCTGGCTTGGTTTTGGTTCTCCAGGGTATGAAGACCCTCTCTCTCCCCTCCTCCCAATACTGTCGGGATTCACACAAAGTGGGAAGGAGGAGAGGGAGGTGCTGTCCACAGCACACGAGGACGGCAAGACGTACCTCGCACACTCGGGGCGTGTTGAGGGGAGAGCCCAGGGCCAACGGAGGCCCAGCACACAAGATAAAGACCCTCGGTGAAGGGGGCTGACGCGGAGGACAGCAGCAGCTCAAGCCCGGCAGGGACTATGAAGACGGTGCGGGCCCGGGCTGTGTCTGGTTCTGCTGCGTGTGTGGTCACCGCGAGGAGTCTCGGCCAAGGTGACAGCCCCCGACCAGTGACCATGCACTGCGGGGAGGCTCTGTCCCCTGAAAATAGGTCAACTGGAAGCCGCATGGCTTTCTCACGCCTCACCCTCCTGAGCTCACCTGAGAAGGGACCTCCAGCCTGCTCTCGTCTCACCCCCTGGGGCTCTGTCCTGGGCTCTGCAAAGGCCAGGTCTGCCTCAGAAACTCTGCGTCCTGTACCTATGAAGACAGGTGACGTTTGGTTAGATTACTGGCATTCAGAACAGACAACTGACCCTGGGTCCTCAAAGTGACATAACAGGAAGAAACAGAAAGTCGGGGAACGTGTGACATAAATGACAGCTGGTGCTTCCCGTGGGAGTGGTGCTCACCAGCATCAACCGACCGTGAACCGCGGCCTCCTTGCTGTGTCAGAGCCCGACCGTCGGCTCATTGGTCTTCAGCTGTGGACGTTTTTGGAGGCAGATTTCCAGATCTTTCTTTGGAGGACTTTCTAGTGAACCTGACTCTCTTTGGTTAGGAGTGGAGCCCATTAAACCTCTGCATCATTCCAGGCCTCCACAATAGACTGACCAGCTCTACAAATGTCAAACTCTTACCTTGGAAACTGGGAGCACAGATTGAGACTGGCTCTTCAGAAGATACCCCACTCTTCCCTCCCCTCCCCACAAGGATTCAAAATAGAGAAAAAGGGAGGCCTGGAAGGAACATTGCAGTTTGGGAACAGACACCTCCTTACCTGCTGACCCCGGGTCACCATGGTTCTCCTGCATCGCATTCTTAGAGAAATCCTTCAGCGGGTAGAAGTCTGCAGCCACGCCCCTGACAATCCCCAGGTCCTGAGAAGGGCAAACATATTCTTGAGCATCCCGTGTTTATGGGCCCCCACAGCTCTATGGAGATAGGTTCTGTGCACACGCTGCCAAGGAGTTACTGTAGCAACAAGTGTAACCACGTTTGTGGGATATTCCAGTCAGTGGTGTATCACAGACTGAACGTTTATATCCTAGAATCCGAGGAGTCACCCGGGCCATCAATGACACAGTAATCAGTCTCAATCTATGTGGAACAAAAGAGAAGGAAGGAAAGCGAGAGAAGGACCCAGATGACAGGACTGTCCCAGGAACAGCTGGTCCCTCCACCACAAGACAGAAGAACTAGAAGGTGCCCAACTGCTGGCCGTGAGGGCTCTGCTCAGGACGCCACCGACCGAAGCGGCAGGAATCGGAAGGAGCACTTCCAGTCAAAGAATCCAGACCCATTGGACCCACGCACGTCGGTGGAATCCCCAAGACCACTGCTCTGGGCAGCTCGTGAAGCCTTCGAGTGCTCCCATCCCCTGAAGACATGTTTAAACTGAGCAACAGGTTAGCTCCTAGAGTAAAGACTATCAGTCTTGAGTGCTGTGCTATTTAAAAGAACCGTATCTATATAAAACAAAGCGGACAGCATGTTTTAAATCCCAGATGAGAAGCTCAGAGGGTAGAGTGCCTACATCAAGGGAGAGAGACACCGAGAAGGGAGTGCTGACAAAATGTGAAGAATATAACCCACGTTGTTGTTGTCGCTGTGTACCATCAAGTCGGAACCGATCCACCGCTGACCTTCCAACGGGTGTTCAGAAGCAGTTACTCGCATGGGAGGAGACTGTCCATCTTCTCCCATGAAGCAGCTGGGGGATTCGAACCATGTGCCTTTGGGATTGCAGCACAGCTTCCTACCACTAGGCCACCAGTGCTCCCTATACAACCAACGTTAGTGAGCATTATACTTAGGACCTGGAGAATGGGTGCACATTTTGCTGTGTATATTTTCACCAACAAGAAAATAAATTTTAAAAATTTGCAACTAAGTTTCCCGAGTTGTTATGTGCTGTCGAGTCCCCTACAACTCACAGCAACCCAATGCATAACAGCTCTGAGCTCCGCCCCATCCTGAGCCAGTTTCACTGACTCTGATACACCTAATCCCACTGCCCCAGTTATCACGTCAAACAATCCGGGGGTTTCCTCCCCTGCACCCTTCCAAGGGATGTCCCTCCCCAAGGACTGGTCCCGCCTGACCACGTGCCCAAAGTATGTGAGACGGAGCTTCAAATTCCTAGCCTCCAAGGACAAACCTGGTTTCACCCTCTCCAGGACAGACCTATTTGTGTTCCTGGTGGTCTATGGTATATAAATTCAAGACTCTTCTCCAGCACCACAACTCAGAGGCATCAATTCTTCTATCATCCTTAGTCATTGTCCAGCTCTCTGAGGCACAGCATGTAACTGTGAAGACCACGGCCTGGATCAGGCGCACCCTGGTCTCTAGACTGACATCATTGCTCCTCAGCACTCTGGAGAGGTCCTTGATAGCAGACTTCCCCAGTGCAATTCGTCTTCTGATTTCCTGACTGCTAGTAACAAGAGCTGACTGCAGAGCTGAGCAAGCTGAAAATTGTTAACCACCTCAATCTCTTCTCCATCTATCACGGTGCTGCCAGTTGGCCCAGCGATGAGAGTCTTTGTCCTCTTGATGCTAAACTTCAATCCATATTGAAGACTACAGTCCTTGACCTGCAGCAAATACTTCAGGTCCCCCTCAGTTTCGGTGAGCAAGGCTGTAACATGTGCATAACCCAGGTTGTCAACGAGGTTCCTGAGGAATCCAAGTCATTCACTAAACTGGTCTGGTCGTGTCACTACAGAGATACGTGGTTATGTTTAAGGGAAAAAGAAAATCAGTGTGAACAGTTTCTGACTCCTGTCAACACCAGATAACAGACATGTGTCTGTTCACTCTCCTTGGGAAAGCTGCACAACCTCTAGGAACCTGTCCCAGTGGATCCCTTGTGGTTTCTTCCAGTGAGAAAGGGCAACTCTGGAGAGGAGCAGGAGAAGCCACGTAGTGTGAACTGTCCTGCGGTGATGGAGCTCTTCCCGCGGACACGGACACGGAGGCCCTCCCAAGGTCACAGAGACCCTCCCACAGACACGGAGGCCCTCCCCGGTCACGGAGGCTCTCCCCCGGTCACGGAGGCCCTCCCCCGGTCACGGAGGCCCTCCCCCGGTCACGGAGGCCCTCCCGCGGACACGGAGGCCCTCCTGATATCACGGAGGCTCTCCCACAGACAGAGGCCCTCCCACGGACATGGAGGCCCTCCCGCAGACACGGAGGCCCTACCACAGACAGAGGCCCTCCTGCAGACACGGAGGCCCTCCAGCGGTCACAGAGGCCCTCCGGCGGTCACAGAGGCCCTTCCCCGGTCACGGAGGCCCTCCCGCGGTCACAGAGGCCCTCCCGCGGACACAAGGGCCCTCCCGCGGACACAGGGGCCCTCCCGACATCATGGAGGCCCTCCCACAGACAGAGGCCCTCCCATGGACACGAAGGCCCTCCCACAGTCACATGCTCCCATCTGCACGCACGTGGCTCTTCCCGGGACTAAGACTCTGAGAAGGGGCAAGGACTGGCTGAGCTTCTGCTCACATCTCTCACCTCGATTACATGTCAAGTGTTTGTGAACAGCACAGCTTGTCTGTGATTCATCACAACTGATTTTATGACGCTTTTCTCAAGTATCACCACATAGTCTTACCTCTTAAGCAGGAATCTCGTCTGTATGAGGTCCTACATTCCAAAAGAAACTCCCCCCATAGAGACTGCAGTCGGGGGTTACATGCTCCCTCCACAAACCCCCTCTCCACTCACTGTCAGTGTGGAGTGGGTTCACAGCGGACCCTCCCCTGGGGGTGTCTGGGGTGGTACATCTGGCTTTCTCCCTTAGAGCAGGTGGATTTGAACCACCGACGAGGCCCGGCCTTTGGGTTGGCAGCGTGGCTCCGTCCCCCTGAGGAAGACGGCACTCTCATGCCTACTCACCTTCTGCTTCCCAAGCACCACGCCAGAATCCCCGACTCCTCCTCCTATGGAACATTCCAGGGTACAGGTTCCAAATCCTCCCATCATCCGTGCCAAGGACAACTCTTCTTCATCAAACTCCTTCTGTGGAGGTAACTCCTGGGTCTCCTGCAAAGGCTTCAAGTCTGGAAGATATTAAGCAAGCGAACATCTCTTTTGTTGTTGTTATGTGCCGTTGAGTCACCTGTGACTCATAGTGACCCTGTGTGAAACAGCCTAAACCCTGCTCTGTTCTGTGCCAACCTCACTGTCTCTGATACATCCACCCCCATTACCTTAGTCACTGAATCAATCCATCTTATCAAGGATCTTCCTCTCCTGTGCTGTCCCTCCACCCTCCCAAGCATAACGTCCCTCTCCAAGGACTGGTCCCTCTTTGCCACATGTCCAAGGTATGTTAGTTAGACGAAACTGCAGAATCCTTGCCTCCAAGGAGCAGCCTGGCTTCACCCTCTTCAGGTTGAACCTGTTTGTTCTCCTAGCAATCCACGGTGTATTCAATACTCTTCTCCAGCACCACAGCTCAAAGGCATCTATTCTTCTATCATCTCTAGTCACTGTCCAGCTTCTTGTTATATGCCGTCAAGTCGCTTGTGACTCACAGAGATCCTACGTACAAGAGCCCTAAATGCCGCTCTATCCTGTACCAAACTCGCCATCTCCGACACACTCATTTCACCACCGCAATCACAGAATCGATCCACCTCATAGAGGATCTTCCTCTCCTCTGTCCCTCCACCCTCCCAAGCTTGACGTCCCTCTCCAAGGACTGGTCCCTCCTTGCAACATGTGCAAAGTATGTCAGACGAAGCCCCAGAATCCTTGCCTCCAAGGAGCAGCCTGGTTTCATCCTCTCCAGGATAAACCTGTTCATTCTCTTAGCAGTCCATGGTATATTCAATGCTCTTCTCCAGCACCACAGCTCAAAGGCATCTACTGTCCTTCTATCCTCCCTCGTCACTGTCCAGCTTACATGTTGCTATTCCACTGGTCGTGGTGCAGTCTGTTCTGACGTGCAGCTACCTCGGCTGACAGGAAAACCAGCCCGTGGGGCTTCGCATGCTGCCATCTTCACAGGCGCGACTGGCAGGTGTCTCACCCATGGAGCTGCTGGGTAAGCAGGTGTCAAGCGCCCACCCACCTGCTGGTGGGCACCCGATGCTTGACTGCTCGGCCACCAGAGTTCTCTTACCACGTCACCTAGAAGAAGGAGGCCCGGAGGCTCAACGAATCAAGGGCTAACCAACAAGCTGGCAGTTCAAATCCACCAGCACCGCTCACTCGGGAGGAAAGATGGACGTTGGCTGCGATGGAGCCTCAGAGCCTGGGAGCACTCCGGGCAGGCCTCCTCTGTTCTACATGGTCTGCAGAGTCTGAACGGACTCAACAACAGGGCTACTGTCTGCAGAAAGGAGCCTGCCAAAGCGCAACCAGATGAAGGAAAATGGTCAAAACAAGGACATAGCTCTGGGGCCAAACCCAGTCCCCAGGGTCAGAAACATTTTCATACTGCTATGATCGAACTAGCACTGGTCTGTGCGTTGCTGTACAGAGGTAACTCGTGGTTGCTGTGATGCTGAAGCCTGTGACAGTGATGTGCCAATCGTGGTAATGGGCACCCATGGTGGACAGTGTTGGCTGGAGCTTCCCGACTAAATCAAGCCTGGAAGCAGGAGCGGCATCCTCTTCCGAAATGGCTTGCCTCTGGAAACTCTATGTACGAACAGTGCTCAGGCTGTTCGTTCATAGGGTCGCTATGAGTCGTCTACGACTCAACAGCACTAAACAACAACAACATGATCGAACTTGGGCATCCACCTCCTAAACGGCATGCCTCCGGAAACTCCATGAACTCTGATAAATGTCGATAGCTGTAGAGGGGCTTCAAGCCTTGTGTGCATAGGGTCACTATGAGTTGTGTTCGACTTGAAGGCAATCAACAACAGCATTATTGCAGACTACAGCATAGTCTAAGTCTGGGAAACCAAAGCTTGTTGTAGCTCACTTTTCTGTACTCTAGTGTTCTGGAACTGAGCCCACAATCCCTCTGAGGTATGCCCCCCCCATGCGACCTCCCTCGGTGTGACCTGGAATATAAAATCACTGGCATGATAAGATCTGCTATGAGCAGCCAACCCGTTGATAAAGGAGTTTCCTTGGGTGTGGCACGCATTAAATATACACGGAAGATCTGGCAAGGCTCCCTGGCTTTTTTTTTCTTCTCTGTTTTGGCTCATCTGGGATTCTGTATCTGTCCTGCCACCATGTGACCTCTGGTTACTTGAACTTGAGCCAGATTTTCCAGGCAGCCTCCTTAGCCTCAGAGGCCAGCAGCCTGCTGTCTAACCTGCTGGTCTTGGTTTTGTCAGCTCCGGCAGCTGCCTGGGTCAGGAGAAGCCTCCAAACTGACTTCTGACCCTTGGAAGGAAGTGGGGATTCCCAGTGTACACGACAGGGAGTCGTTTCCCAGAGACAAATCAGTCTCCCTCTCTCAGCTTCATTTGTTTTTCTTCTCTAGAAAAACATAAGCTATGTGCTAAGTTAGAAGATTTTCAAATCTCATTGTGAACGGACTCTAGTGTCTGGCTTCACATATTCTTTCTAACTACATAGTAATAAGTCTCAAAAAGAAAAACCAACCAACCAAACAAACCAAAAAAAAACCCCAAACACCAAAACCCTTCTATTCTAATGCACTGAGGTTTAATTTTAATTACCTACCTTTGTGATAGGGGTCCAAGTGGTGCAATGTTTAAGTGCCAGGCTGCGAACAGAAAGGGTGATGGTTCGAATCCACAAGCAGCTCCATGGAAGAAAAGATGACTGCCTAGGAACCTGTACGGGGCCATTCAAAAGCAACTGGACAGCCCCTAACACTTAACTGTTTAACTGCTGTTTGGCCAGGACTCCTTAGTGACAGATTCCAAATAAAAGACCCCCTGCCTATAACGTGGGTACCGATAACAGAGCTCACAGGGTAGAACTGTATGCTAATAAAATTCTTTGGCAAAGAAAATTAATTTAACCACTGTTTTAGTCAGATGAAAGTCCTTACGAAGAGTACACAGGGCCGCTAATCCTGGTCATCAAAGACCAGCCACGTCCCAGAGCCCCATCTGCCCTGAGATCAGAAGAAGCAGATACAGCGGGGAACTGTAACGGTGCCCCGGTGCCATCAAACAACGGTTCTCGCAGGGTCACAGTGGACACACCCTAATAGGATGGGAGAAAAATGGGGAACGGAATCTCAAATTCCTAAAAATGAAAGCACAAACAGAAAACCCAATCGACAGGACCGGTTGAGAGTGGAGGCTCCCTAGAATGACGATCACCCTGACGAGCTCCTCAACTCCTGAATGCAGGGCTCCTGGCGGATGCAGAGTGTTCCCGCCGGCTGCTCCTTGGGGGAAAGATGAGGCCGTCTGATTCCATAAGGATTAGAGACCAGGAACCCCAAGGGGCAGCCTCTGTTCTGCTGCCGTGGTGAGTTGGAACCAACCGGAAAAGGCTTTGTTCATCTTTGTCCCGTGGAGTAGTTGGTGGGTTTGAACTGTGTACCTTTGGGATTGCAGCGCACCTCCTTACTATGAGGCCGCCAGAGGTTATGACTCCATTAAGTGGCCTTAAATTGCTGACTTTTCAGTTAGTAACTGAAAGGTCCCGTTGTGGATTTGTAGATGGGCTTCCTATCTCCTTATCCCCTGCAAGATGGTCAGTCTTCAATGGCTTATACTCACCCATAAAGAATGTGAAAGGTCATTATAAAGACAGAGGAGGAAGAAAAGACCAAGATGGAAGCCGGACAAGACCCTGAATATTGCACTACAGTGTCAAGAAGCCAAAGCAAAGGGGAGAAATCAAGAACTTAAGGAGCTGAACAGAAGATTCAAAGGGCAGTGTGGGAAGACAAAGCAAAATACTGAAATGAAATATGTGCAAAGAGCTGGAGTCAGAAAATCAAAAGGGCCAAACCTGCTCAGCATTTCTTAAGGTGAAGGAACTGAAGAACAATTTCAAGTCTCGAGTTGCAATGCTTAAGGCTGCTTTTAGCAGAATAGTAAATGATCCAGGAAGCATTAAAATAAGATGGAAGGAGGCTACAGAGTTACTGTACCAGAAGAAACTAGCTGACATAGAAGAATTCATGAAATACTGTATGAGCAAGAGCCTGTGGTGATGAAGGAAGAAGTTCATGCTGCTCTGAAGGAACTGGCAAAACCCAAGGCCCCAGGAATTGCAGGCATATGAACTGACATATTTCAACAAACAGATGCCACCCTGAATGTGCTCACCAAGTTGTGCCAAGAAATCTGTAGGAAAACCACCTGGCCAACTGACTGGAAGAGATCTGTTCCTATTCCAAAGAAAAGTAATACAACAGAGTGTAGAAATTATCCAACAATATCATTATTATCACGTGCAAGCAAGATCCTGCTGAAGATTATCCAAAAATGACTGGAATAGCACATTAAGAGAGAACTGCCAGATGTGCAGGCTGGGTTTAGAAGAGGTCGTGGTACTAGGGATATTATAGCTGGTGCTAGATGGATCTTGGCTGAAAGCAGAGTACCAGAGGAATGTCTATTTATGTTTCATTTACTGCAAAGGTGTTTTACTGTGTGAATCACAACAAACTGTGGCTGACTCTGAGAAGAACCCCAGAACACTTGATTGTGCTTATGCAAAACCTATACTTTGACCAGGAGGTAGTCGTCAGAACAGAGGAAGGAAATACTGCATGGTTTAAAATCGGAAAGGGTGTGCATCAGGAACCTCTCCTGTATCCATACCTTTTCAATCTTTATGCAGAACAGATCCTCTGGAAGGCTGGGCTCTATGAGGAGGGATGTGGCATCAGGACTGGAGGTAGTCTCATCAACAACCTGCATTATGCACATGACACAATCTTGCTTGCTAAAACTGAGGAGGACCTCAAGTGCTTGCTGCAGGTCAAAGACTGCAGCCTTCTATATGGACTGAAGCTCAACATCAAGAAAACAAAGATTCTCACCACTGGGCCAATTGGTAGCATCATGGTAGGCAGT